GACCAGTAGCAGTGTTGTTAGCAAACAGAGGACTAGGATCATTGTTACCATCAGTAGAACCAGATGGCACAGTTGTTCCATCAGGATAATACCATGTTCCTATCATATTCTGATTAAGAGAACTCTGACACCACAAACCATCATTCTGACCATCAGGACCAATGGGAATATTAGTAGCAGTACCATCAGGTCTATCTAAATCTACTTCATGAAACAGACTAGCAGCTATCATTGAGAAATTAGCAATAGTAATATCCTCCTCACCAAGAAACAATCTAACACCTATGGAATACAATAGATAGATTCATTACAAAATTATTTACTGACCAGTAGTTGGACGAGGAGGCAGTGAACCAAACTCTAGACATGATACATGAAATACCAATGATAAGAGGAAGAATAGAAACATTATAACCAAGCAAATTTAGCAAACAATTAAGCCTGTGAGAAGAAATCTAACTCTACAAACTGTAAAACAGTAACATCTATAATGATTAATTCAGTAAAAATAACAGTAATTAGCCGTATGTCAGCATAGTCCCATTATCACTGCATCTTAGCATAACTGCAGATATAAAAAGGACAACAATAACATGTGTCCAAAGAAAGTAAAGAGACATAACTTGATTAGCTAGATTTTGTATGCACACACATATGAACCAATGTATTTAGATACATTCAATGTACACATATACATACCTGATGTGTACTGTAGTTGAGCTGACTGACACAATGGGTTGCACAAATATAGCACTTTCCCTGCCTATAGTGATAAAGCATGTTTTATGAGCTGACAAGGTATGCAACAGAGGAACATATATGCATTAGAAAAGTTATGAAAATGGAAAACTCTCTCCTAATCACTTAAGGCAAAATTTGGCCATGAAGTGACTTTGGCCTGATTTTTGATTAACTTTAAAAAATTTATAAAAAAAATAATTTTGGTCAAAATCAGCTCAAACTTGCTACAGAACATAAAAACATGCATATGTATTAGGACAAATTATAAAAATTGAAACTTCTCTCCTAGTCATTTTTGACCAAGACCAGGGTCTTGGTCAAAATTATAGTAAAGGGTTTTCAGCCCAATTTTTGGGCAACTTGACAATCCACTGATAAGAAGCTGCATGAGTACTATGCCGAATTCTGTGGAATACCACTTTTTCACATCACAATATGGCTTTATTAGTAATAGATCCACTCAAAAAAAATTAAACTCCTGAGCATATGATCTCATCCAACTAGATAAAACTTAAATTTTTTAGTAACATTGTAAACAAAATTAAAAATTGGTAAAATTGTTACATTAATAGACCATAAAGACTACATTAGAAATAAATGTGCATTCCTAATTAAATGAAACTAAACTAATAATGCATAAAAATTTATTATATGCACATTTATAAAACTGCTCAGTATAAACACCAAACAAGGGTATGTGATAGGTATTATTACAGTGAAGTAGTATCAGTCAGTTCATACACATTGTCATCATTTTCTTTCTCATGACTCTAAGCAACAGAATAAAGTATGATTGATAGGTAACAACTAACAGATTGAATTAATGTAATACCTGTAACAATAGGCTCAGTAGTAGTATTTTTATATGTTGTACTACTAGTGTCAGCAGCACTTTCTCTTGCAGCAAGCAGATCAGGTTCATCTAATTGTTCATAAACCTGATCATCTCCTATTCTTTCATAAACTCCATCTTCATTTCTATTAACACAGTCATAGTAACACAAGTATCACTAATGAATTATAGTATTGTTACTCACTCTGTCGATGTATTCTTGACAATATCAATTATACCATATCCTGCATTAGGTGTTACATCAATGTCATCAGTTTTACTACTATTATAAGTTAAGGCATACACTAATAATCATGGAATTTTGCTACCTTATATTATAATTCTTTGACTTTTTCCTATAAATTATTACACAAATGACACAAACAATGATCAAAACCAAAGCAACAACAATCAAAACTGAAACTACTGCTGATATCAGTGGAACATTTAATGTAGAATTAGTACTACTACTAGTAGTAGTAGTACCAGTATTGTTTGATGGAGACACTGTATAAACAATAAATAATAGCAATGTCCTTTTGAAAATGTTTACTAACCTACACTCACAGCTGGTCCTTCAATTAGTCCTACATCACTCAATAGCAATACACTAATACTCACAGTATAAGCTAACTGTGGCTCAGTATCAGTTATATTAACTGATGTGGTATCATAAGCTACTGATATAGTTCTTGTATTAGTTTGTCTTAATGTACTGCTAGTGCTACCATCATCAGGAGTTAATCTGATACTGTATACAAAGAATCCTTTAGCTTCTTCTAGTGTCACTGGATCCCATGATAACACTATTGTATCTCTTATTCTCATTGCTTGTACATTTGATGGTGATACTGTAACACTACCTGCACATAAAATGACAATTAATGCGAAAAGTTAAAATATTTACTGTCAGCTTTAGTGAAGACAGTAGCAGTGGCTGAATTTCCTTCACCAACTTGATTGACTGCTACAACTGATACATAATAAGGTATCCTTGCCTCTGTAAAATGATCATAAAAATATGATATGTAAGCACAAAATACTAACTTAATCCTCCAAATATTAAAGAATATGATGTTTTGCCAGTCACAAATGGAACATTATTAGGGCTAGTAATAGCATCAGTAGCTATTCTAACAATAAATCCACTAATTTCTCCATTAGGATGAGATGGTGGACTCCATGTTATATTGATAGTAGTTTCATTGAGAACTGGTACAGTATAAGCTACTGTTAAACTATTGATAATTACAGGGGATACTAATAAATCAGGTGAATTAAGAGCTGTTGATAGTAAAAATAATTTAATTTAGGTTCAATATTGCATTTACTGTCTGAGGCTGGTAGTGTTCTTCCTGCAGTAGTAGCCACTGGTCCAGCTCCAATGATTGTACTAGCACTAACACTAGCAGTGTAATTCTGATATGGACTGAAACCATCAACTAATTGTATCACTGTAGTTTGATTGACAGATACAGATATTGTATAGTTATGTCTTTTCATTGTATTCAAGTTAATTACAACTAGAAAATATTCAATGATTATTCCATTAGGAGTAGCTGGCTTAGTCCATGTAAAAGTGACATCAGTTTTATTAGGTACTGAAGTGAAACTTTGAGGATTATCACTTGGCCCTATTTTGTAGAAAAATGCAACTAACTTATGACTTTTAATAATATTGAACATATGCACTTATGTACATGTACATAATAAATTAATAATCCACATGTAATGTACACTAGTCTACATGTACTTACTATCTTGAGCTGTTTCAAAAGTACACTGGGTAGAGGGTCCTTCTCCTACTACACTAATAAATGACAGCTCACAAGTGTAACCAGTAAAAGGTATAACATCAGTAATAGTGAACATTGTGTTCCTTGAAGTTTGTGTTGGGATCAATCCATTGACTGATGCACCACTAGTATTCATGCATGTTAAATTATAACCAACTGGTGCTCCATTTTGATCTATTAGTGCTGGTGCAGTCCAGGTAAGTGTGACATTATATGGTAAGAATGTTATATTAGAACAACCCATTGGAGGATCCACTGGCACTGTAATGAACAAAAGAAATAAAAAATAGAAATGGATAACAATGGGATACCAATCAGTTTTCACTCACATGTTGAAAGTGTTCTGAAGCTCATCTCTACAGTACTAGTAGTACCAAGACAATTGGTAGAATCAACTGTATATGTATAAGTGTTATCTTCCTCAAGGCCAGCCAACATGATTGTAAATTCTTGGTTAATTACAGTGATGTTATCAGAGCTCATTCTTGTCATAGAAGTTTGTTCTGCTGTTTGTAAGATTGCTCCAGTATACTTAACACTGTAGGTTTCAGGTGTATAGGCAATGTTAGGTATTATGAATGATATAGCAGCAGTAGTTGTTCCTGGAGTAGCTGTTACATTAGTAGCAGGAACAGGTACACTTTGATGAGCTATAAATAAAAAAAGAGATTAACGTGAGAGGAGAAAAAGAGGATGTGCATTACAAATTTAAAATCCCTTACATTTTATAGTCACAGTACTTTCCTCACTAGTAGTGACAATATCAGTTGAATCAGGTACAGTAATAATAGCAGTACATTTATAAGTACCAGAATCAGAAGCAGTACTGGAGTCAAAACTCAATGTATTAGTAACAGTGGTAGTCATAGTATCCTCTCCAGTAGTAGTCACAGTGCCAGTTTCTATTGTACCATTATGTGTCCATGCTATTACAAGGTTTGGTATTACTATGGTTGGTTTAGTGGCTGTACAGGTAAGAGTGAAGTTATCATATGGGTCTGAATCAGGACATGATGTCTCCAGACCCAGGAATGAGTCGGGGGAGGCAGAAAAA